CGGGCAAAACACATTCGAGCGGAAAACAATGCGATTTTTCTGAAAAACGATTTGCGTAATGTCGATTAGATTTCATATACTTTAATACAACATATACCCATATATACATAAACACACACATATTTATATATATATATATATATAGAGGTAAATACGTCTGGTTCGTAGAAAGACGACGAACTGGAAGAGACGGTGACAGTTTCGAAGACAAATCTTGCATCCCTTTTTAAGGTGAAAGTAAGAAAAAGATAGAAAAAAGGGTGAGAGGAAAAAGTATAAGGGTATAGGAGATAGTATAGAAGAAGGTACAATATAGAATAGGGATGCAAAATGTGAATACGGGATATGTTGGTGTGGTAAAAGATGCATTGAATTATTCATAACAATTTGTTGCTTCCATTCGGCCGATTGTCTTCCCAAACCCATATTCTCTATTTTATACATTCATGTATTTTTCTAAACGTATAGATACCTACTGTCATATTAAAACCAATCTCTCGTGACAATTTGATTAAATTTCGTTATTATTTTTTTTTTTATAATATTTATTATGTGAATATTATGTACTTTTAATAATTTTCAAAATATATAACAACAAAAATAATATTATATATGTATGTTATATATATGTGTTTATATATCGGATGTATCGTTGATTAATTGTTCATTTTATTTATTTTTGTATTATTAAGACGATGATAGAAATTTGAGAAAAATGTTATTGAAATGTTATTTGTTTGCTATTGTCATATTAAAATCAATCTCTCGTGACAATTTGATTAAATTTCGTTATTATTTTTGTTTATATTTATTATGTGAATATTATGTATTTTTAATAGTTTTCAAGATATAACAGAAGAAATATATAATAATATTGTAACAGATATATATATATATATATATGAGAAAAATATTATTGAAAGAATATTATGTACTTTTAATAGAGAAATATATATTAATATTGTAACAAAGATAAATATATATATGTATATGTTTTGTATCAATTGATAATTTTATNAAATATATATTAATATTGTAACAAAGATAAATATATATATGTATATGTTTTGTATCAATTGATAATTTTATTAATTTTATTTATTTTTCTATTACTAGGACGATAGAATGATAGAAATTTGAGAAAAATATTATTTAAATGTCATTGATTACTATTATCATATTAAAACCAATTATTTGATTTTGTGACAATTTTTAATACCTTTTTTCATAATATCTTAGATATTTATGAATATTATATATTTTTAATCGTTTCCAAGATAATATAACAACAAAATAATACTATATGTGTATATTATATATTTGTGTTTATATATCGGATGTATTGTTGATTAATTGTTCATTTTATTTAATTTTGTATTATTAGGACGTTGATAGAAATTTTAAATTGATGTTTAATATTATTGTTTTATTCATAATTGCAATAGGTTTGTTAAATGAAAAGATTTTGTTAATAATAATTGTCATCAAGTTTCATATCAATTATTTTATTCAACATAGATTTTTGAGAATTGAAATATATTCTTATTATAATTAAAAACTAAAAGAAAACACAGTTTATCAATAATTTTATCAACCAAAATGAGGATAATGTAATTTTTTTCTAAATAAAATTCTAAAACCCATATATTTGCTAAACTATCAAAATTTAAAACAATCATGCAACATATTCTATAAATCTGTATATAAAAATATATTCCTATTCTTATTTGTGTGAAACACCAAAAATTGATCAATAATTTTCTTAAATAAAATTCTAAAACCTATATATTTGTTAAACTATCAACATTTAAATTAACCATGTATCATATTCTAAATATGAATATAAAAATTATATTCTAATACTTATTATTTAAAACATCAAAAATTGATCAATAATTTTCTCAAATAAAATTCTAAAAACCCATATATATATATATTTGCGAAACAATCAAAAATTCATTTTTAAAAAAACAATCATACCAATTATCGACCCACAAAATATAATCCTTAGAATTTCCTTTCTTATTATTATTATTATTTCTAATCTACTTTTTGATTCTAGGAAGTATTACTACAACTACAAAAATATACTCTCTCTCTCAAGGGTATAGGACGATATAAAAAAAAAAGAAAAAAACCTATAGAAAGGATGAGAAAAAAAAAATACAGAGAAAGGGTGAGTATGGGGTATTAGAATTTGGGAAGATGACGTTATTAATCCTTTTTATAAAAGGATCTAGCCATTTGGTGATTGACGTTGCGTGACTATCTGAACGAACGAACGTTCGTGCTTGCTTATGCAATTTCCCATGGAAATCCTTCAGGGCCCAGAAGAAGCAAAAGAATAAAACGATCGGTAGATACTAGAGAAAGGTAGTATAGGTATAGATCTACGGTAAACTAGTAAAAGAAGCCTAAGTTTCCGCGTTGAACGATACACGGAAAGTGTAATAAAGCCTAATCGGTACCCTTTTAAATGGATACTTGATTAAATGGATTCTACAAGAGGCTACTTCTAAAAGTATATGTTTTTTTTTTGGTTTTTTATTTTCTTCTTCTCTCTTTCTTTTCCTATCTGTCACACAATTTTTTATTTCTTTTTTTTCTTTGGTTTTTAAATATTACGGGTACCACGATGTTTTTTCCAAATTTTCTTCGTTTTTATTTATCATTAAATTCAAACACCTTTTTCTTTTTCTTCTTCTACTTCTACTTCATACAATTTTTATTTTGTGTGTGTGTTTTTTTTTTTCTTAATATCATGGGTAACATAAAGTAATGTCGTTTTTGATTCTATTTCAATTTATTCTTGTTTCTTCGTTAAATTCGAACACTTAACATCTTCTTTCCCTTTTCCTATCTTCTACAATTTTTATTTCTTTTTTTGTGTTATTATTTTTCTAAATATCATGGGTATCATAAAGTAATGTTGCTTTTGATTCCTTTTTTTTCATTAAATTCAAACAACACTGCTTCAGAAGTAACATAATGATCTGATCAATGATAAACAAATATATATTAACTATTAATAAAATATTAATTAAAAATATATAATTTCTCTTCTTTTTTCATACTTAATTCGTTGTTCTGAAAAAGTAATAATTAACGAGCGAAAAGAAACTTTTTATATATTTTTTATATTTATTTCACACAAATAAACCCACACATATAACCCACTGATCATTCTAATCAGTACAATATCTAGATCATCTATAAATTATTTTTAAAACCAACACATTATTCATAAAACCTAACGAATAACTAATAACAATAACGTATTAAAACGATGAATAATAATTGAAATAACATTAGCAACATCATTATTTCATTGTTATCATAATTATTCTTTTTCCCATATAATATCTAAACGTTTATAAATAAATATTATACAACAAATAAAAAAAGAAACTGGTGTGTGTACTTATGTACGCCCGTAAGAAGTTATACTTCTTTAACGTACCAAAACGAATATAATCTCAAAAATAACTTCAATTTGCCCGCGCGTCGTAAATATCGACAACTTCGTGGTGTCAATTTTTCGGTCGCATCTAACTTCACTTTCCAAAACGCGCGCCAAAAGAAGTATAACCTCAAAAATCTGTAATAAATATGACGRCAACAATAATTAAAACAAAAAAAGTATAATCCCCCACCTCCTGCTCCTCTAATCCCAAAGTTCCTACCATTTATATAAACATGTTAAACATTCCT